TACTCCAAGCATAACTTTCCAAATCTTGTCGTTTCTTCACTGGGAGGCCTTTGCTTCTTCTCCTGCTTAAGTTGCTGTGAGTATGTCTGAGTTGGTCAGAAAAAGCAAATATTCTGACCTTCTAAATAATTTTTATAAGTTTTGACTTAAAGGATGAAGGTTTTGTCATCTCTGAGTATCCATGTGTTTGCAGAGCACCCATATTAGCTATTTAGAATAATAGTGCTGAGAGAGTCCTCAGGGCACTCAAACCTGCAGCAGTCAAACTCAAGCCACAGTAAAAAGCAGAGCACAGCAGGCTTCCTGCATGACTCACGCAGTTGTTCCTAAGTAGCATCTTAGAGGATTATTTCATGAAGGATGTTTTAGGAGAGAAGATGTAGTAACTAGATGTTGAGGACCAAATCATACATTACAAATACTTAGAGTGTAGTTATTTAGCAGCAGAGAAAAACACTAGAAAACAGAATATTTATTCCCTCCACTATTCTTTGTGGTACATTTTCTGTTGAGCTTATTTAGTTTTATTATTCTTGTTAGTAAAAATGAATATCCAGTACTAAAGCATTTAGGAAAAACGGCACTGCCTGCACTTCAGGCCATTAAATCTTTGTAAATCAGCCCTGGAATATCAGCCTTTCCAATACATCATTATCTTTTTGCATGGTGAGTTGCTCTAATTGCAAACTGTCTAGATGAGATCCCACCCGTGCATTGTAAAATCACCACAAAGCATAATTGGATGAGTCTTAACCATTCTTGGCAGTAGTCAATCTCTTCTACCCCAGTGGCTTGTGAAGGTATTAAAGGAAAGGACAGCTTCAATATGTATAAAAGAAGGTTTTGGCTACTTATTTTTACAGTGAGGAGAAATCTTTCTGTGGACGGGGAGGAGCAGGAAATCTCCAGCAATAAAAATGTCAAAAAAAAATAAAACACATGAACACAATTAATGACTCAAAAATGCCTTTTGTTTCAACAGCTTCACTTAGTTGCTTACTGGTAGCCAAACACCACACTAACACACTCTTAAATTAATTTTAATTTTTTTCCTTGTATTTAAACTAATTTTTAAATCCGTCTTCAGTTCCTGCCTACCTAGAGTGAGACAGAGTGCCTACTCTCCTAAATTGGACTCATGGCCTTTTCTTAACTTCCTTCCAAATGTGTTAATGCAAGCAGAGGACAGGGCTCTCTGCACAATTACTGCAAAGGTGCAACACTTCACTGGATTTTAATTCTCAGAGTATATATACACAACCTGCTGCATTGGTTGCCAGCATGTCTCAAGGACAGCCTTGGATCTATCCAAGGTAACTCCAAGATGAAGTTCATCTCCCATGCCAGGCAGCTGGTTCCCAAACTTAGCATCTCTTTGGAAACCCATAAATGGACATCCCTCTCCTTGGATACTTGGCTCAAAGAGTTTAGTAAGGATTGTTTGCATGGTAAGATCTGGATTGAGAGTTAGTATCTGATATCACCTGCATGCTGCCTGTTGTTGGTGTATGTTCTGGCATTTTCCAGAGCAATGGTGCTCAGCAGCTTGTGAGATGGACTGTTAGGAATATAGATATAATAGACAAGGATTTTTTAAAAAATGTTCATTGCTTTTGCTAATTTCTTGTTTTACTGTTCCTGCTGTAAAAACAAAAATCAATATAACATGGAGATGTTCAGATCTTTAAAGTATCATAAAATGGGCATTGAAAAATCACTGGCACCAAGAGGAAGGCAAAGAAGACACCTCACTTTGTGTAAGACTAGTGTCAAAAAACATTAAAATCCTTTCAGAGCATGTGGCTTTCAGCTCTCTCATGCACATAAGTGTCAGACTGTCAGGTAGTTTTGCTTAGAGAATATGGCACCATCTCTTAAATAGTTTCTGTTAGTTTCCTAAGAAAACTTTCTAGTTAAATATTTCTCATCAAAAACCAAGCTTCATTCATCTTTTCATTCATCTCACTTTTATTAGGTACTAACCTAGCTGCTCAGGCAAGTGTGTAGGAAGGTTTGATCTTTTCTTTTTTGAGTTGGAAAACTTCCATGGCAATGTATCGGCCATTTATGCCTTTGGAAAATATCACTATCCATTATCCATTCCCATTCTTAGACAGAGAAAGTTACAGCCAGCATTTACTGCAAGGACACTATAAAAACATTTACTAGCCAATAGTGTTGTATTCACTATGGAATATGTGTCTCAAAGAGAAGGGAAAGTGGAAAGGGTAAGCAACTAATAGTATTTTACATATTTAGATAATTTTTTAGTCCTCAAAACTTCCTGGGCCATTGTTTTCCCCCTAGGTATTTTTTTAAATTATTATTTCTGTTTGGGGGGTTTTTTTCCCTAATAAATTCTTTCTTTTTTTGCCTCATCTCACTAGGATGGAGCCCCTTTCAAGTGACTTCCTCTGTGCATGTGTTGTTCCTCTAGGGTGTTAACTGAGATTTCTCTGAATAGTTCTGTACATCCTTCTCTGAAGTCTTTAATCCCATGAAAAATCTTTTCGTACAGCTGCACTCACAGTTTCTGCAACTAAAATGCAATCCTCCTCTGGTACCCTCTTGGGTTATCCCCTGTAGTTGGTCCTAGATCCCAGACAGACTGTTTGAAGTGGAACAAAATCAAGACCATGCACCTGCCAGCCCGTGTTTTTCCCTCCTGTCCTGGCGGAACTAAGGAGTCTTCCACTAGTTCAGGATTGTAGGCTGAATTCAGAGGGCTGAACTTTCCTCTGAAGTGTAGGATTCCTATTAGTGGCTTCAGTTTGAAATTCAAATGCTTTAAGTTTCTTTGCACTGAAATATGTCCTGAAATAGACTGCTAAATTCAGATGACATACCATAGGAAGTCATCAGGTGGTGCCCTCTCTTGAGTTTTCCCTGCATTGGGGAACACCAGTACAGTCATGTATCACTGGAAACTGTTTTCTAAATTTTCAATTCCCCAGAGCTGCACTGATGAATTTACAATCTTTATAGCATTGTTATAGTTTTATTCCTACTTCTGTTGACTCTTGTATTGTAGGGTTGGTTTCTGTGTATCCCGTACTTTTCATTTCACCTTTTTAAGTTCCAGCTTTTCCTTTTAAGGTAAAAACATTTATTTATTTGCAAGTCTGTATTCTGCAGTAGCACTTATAAGAATGACACTTCGCCATTCACTGTGGTGCTGAAATTCCCATTAGGCTCATAATCATACCCTGGTTTACTAGTAGTACTTCTGTTATACACTAGCTAAGCTCCTGAATTATTTTCATCCTAGCTGAGAAGGGATAAATCTCCAGATACATGTGCTTCATTTGTTTTAAAGAATATAATATTAGGCATAAAATAAAAAAAAAATATATCAGAAAATCTGACCACATGAAATCAAATGAATTTAAGTATCCTTTTGCATCTCTAAAAACACTAACATGCCCTCTCTCACAGATGTAGAAGTCCTGCACGGCTCTCTTCTTTTATTTGTTTTCACCAATACAAAAATAATTTTCAGCAGTTCAGTGGAAGAAAAGACCTTCCTGTCAGTGGCTTGCAGCAGTACAGAAAAGCCTGATCCTCTGGGTTTGTTTTTGTATGGGAAATTATTACACTGTAACATAGGCTAACTTGCCTTGCAACGGCTTGTTTTTCATAGGCTTTATTTCAAACTGGAACTCAAATTGTTTTCCTTTCATTATCATTTCTTACATTATTCGTCTGAATTTTTAACAGTCTTATTTGAATCAGCCTATGAGCTATCACATCCCCCCAAATCCACACTTATGATCTGCCAGTCCACAAATCAACTTTCCAGTGAATGTTTAATCAGTTTATGGTAGAAAAGTCTTTTTATGTAGATTTCAAAAAAAGTTAGACTTACAAAGCAGTCAGGCAGTCTCTGCATGTCTGTCCATCTAACCATTTGGCTATCTGGTATTTGCAACAGGATATTTAAAAACCTGTTGACTGGCATCCTCCGGATGTGTAATGAAAATAAGCAGCTGTATAGGTGTCCCAGTGCAACAGGCTTGCCTACTGATGGGAGAAAAAAATCTACAAGCCTTTGTAGACACATGAGAATCCACTTTGGAATGAGTAAGCAGTAGTACCCAAACTGCAAGAAACTCTTCGGTTAACTTGCATGATACAAGAATTTGATGGCAAAACACGGATGCAAGCTTTGCTGTTCCTATGGTTTGTGGATTGCACAGTGGCTGGGGACATTGAAAGAGATGTTTGAGAGGAAAGTCTCACGTTTTGACATTCTTTACAGAGTCACTAGTTGATGTTTAGTTAGTTGGTGTCATTAATGTTGATGTTTAAATAAGTCAGATGGAATAGGCTCTAAAGGCACCTCTTTTTCCTTATCAGCTGAAGCAGCTGGCTCAGATACAGGCATCTGCAATGCAGACACCTGTATGTACATACAGTCCAATACATCCCACTTCCATCATCTGTCTGTAGGACCTTTTTGGAGGGAGGATTTTGTCTGTCACTACACTATGCTCAAATCCACTGATGTCAGCTGTTTAGGGGGCCTAGGTTTGTCCCCTACCACCACAAGGGAACAAGGCCTGCTCCAAATCACAGTGGTGGAGTAGATCCAGCACCTGTTACTATGATTGTGCCAGTGCACTCCATAGAATGACCACACATCTCAAACAGTGTTGTCATGGGGAAAAATGTGTTCAGTGGAGAAAAGCACCTGGCCACCCCTACCAGGGCTATCAGCCTCCCTGTGTGAATCATTTTTGATTTCTTAAAATGTGTGACTCAAGCTATTTATTTTTGTAGGAAGACCTACTGTGTGCTAACAGGTAAGCTTCAGAAGTGTATATGTCAGTAATTTAGCCCAGCTAGTTCCTGAATTAGGTGGGTTGATCAAGTGCTTCAGAAGAGACTTTTTAGTACCACATGTGGCTTGGTTGTGAGCACAACCCACCTTGCTGCTGTTGCAACATGAATGGGCTGGGCTGTCACTGCACTCTAAGCTCTGCTCCTTTCCATGATTGCAGGATTTCACACTCCAACCTCCGGGGATGCCAAGGGAAGCATTATGGAGCAGAAGCGCTCCCGTGAGCCTCAGTAAACATGAGATGGCTGTCTCAAGCAGCAAGCACTGGCAGGGCAAGGCTGACCCTTTCAGTGTGGTAGCTGCCTCCTTGGTGAGCCAACTGCCTGACCAGCAGAAGACAAGCGAGTCACCTCTCAGCTGGTTCAGAGGAGTGTATTTACCCCCTGCACTGTACCCATTAAACAAGACGTTAGTCAAGGATAACAAGTGGAAGGATGTAGATAGCACCCAGGAAAAGCGCAGGTCATTCCTGCATGACTTCTGTAAGAAGTACAACAGCAGAAAGAAGCTGCAAACCCACCTGGTGCACCTGGTGTCAAGAATTTATGTGGAGGACAGGCACAAGGTCCTGTACTGTGAAGTGCCAAAAGCAGGCTGTTCCAATTGGAAAAGGGTCCTCATGGTGCTCAGTGGACTCGCCGCTTCAGCACACAACATTTCCCATGATGATGTACACTATGGAAAACACCTTAGGAAACTGGACAGTTATGACCTAAAAGGGATATACACACGCTTGAACATGTACACCAAGTTTATATTTGTACGTGATCCTATGGAAAGACTGGTATCTGCCTTCAGGGATAAGTTTGAACATCCAAACAGCTATTACCATCCAGTATTTGGGAAGGCAATAATTAAGAAGTATAGACATAACGCAGATGAAGAGGCTTTGAAAACAGGATCAGGAGTTAAGTTCAAGGAGTTCATCCAATATTTGTTAGATTCCCATCGACCAGTAGGAATGGACATTCATTGGGAGCAAGTCAGTAAGCTCTGCTACCCCTGCCTCATCAACTATGATTTTATAGGAAAGTTTGAAACCCTGGAAGAAGATGCCAATTACCTTTTGCAACTGGTAGGTGCTCCAGCTGATCTGAAGTTCCCTAAATTCAAAGACAGACATTCCTCTGATGAGAGAACAAGTGCAGAAGTAGTGAGGCAATACTTAAAGGAATTGTCTAAGGAGGAGAGACAGCTGACCTATGACTTCTATTACCTTGATTACTTAATGTTCAATTATACATCACCAATTGTATAGCACCAGAATAGCTTCAGGCTTCTATTAGATATTTATCGTTTTGGGATTCAAAGCAACTACTTTGATATCAGCCCTGAAAGGAAACAAAGTTACTGCTAAATGGAGTTGACTTAGTGGGGATTTTATAAGCTAGAGTGATATCAATTGGCGTTAAATTATAGGAGAATGCACAGAAAAGAAGACCTGTTAACAGCATAAATTGCACTAAAATGCCTGAAAAAGCTGCTTTTATGATTGTGGATTACACTATGGTAGCTCAGCCAGCTGTTGCATTATCTTACCTAATGTTCTTCTAATGTTTTAAGAAGAAAACATTCAGAGTAGCATGATTCTTTTTTGGTGTGTCTGCTTTAGAAATTGTTTTTGAAACAACTTTTGAATATATTTTTACTTTCTGTCAGTTATTAATAAAGAAGCATTGGCTAATTTTCTAAAATATTTGCAGCATCCTCAGTTGCAAGGCTTCGTTGTTTGATTACCATTAAACTGTAGCCATTTTTAGACCTGATTTTTTTTTTATTGAAGGATGCACTTGAATACAAATGCATCAAGCTACAAATAACACAGCAGCTCAGTTGATCAGTAGAGTAAATTTGGGTAAGCCTGTGAAGTGCCAGTCCACTACCCCATTTTGATTGATGCACTGGAGCTGACAAATATGAGAGAGAGCGCATATTTTCTCTACTTTCAGAGAGCTGCTGCATTCATTAAAATTAAGATTTTAACTTACAGAGGGTACATCATTACATATGATGCATGGATACTGTGGTCCCAATACTCAATGTAGTCTTCATTTTTGGTGATAGGGCAAAGTTTTAGTGTGGCAGCTACAGAACATTCTAAGGTCTGTACTGAGAAGCAACCTCAATGCAACTGCTGTGACCATTCTTGGTCTGCCAGGGTCCAATCATCAGCCCACCTCCCAGGAATTTTTAACACAGAAGGTGCATATGCCCATTGCCTCCCAAGCCCATAAACTGGTGCTGTCTCCAGAGCTTCCTGAAGTCACCTGTGTTTTGCTGTCCTGCCTGCCTTGTCAGCAGCCAGCAAACCCCAGGAATGGGGTGGATGCTTCAGTTATATGAGGTGGGATGTGTATTGGTGATTTTTCCTAGAGGCAGGTATGTCCAGAGTCCCACAGTCCTGGTTATAAAAGGAAAAGGTACCTTCTACATTCCCCTTTGCTCTCCTCCCTCAAATGCTGCCTGACCAACATTTGCAGTTGTTCCTGAAACCTGCATTGAAGGATGGGTCGCCAGGGTGTCCCAGGAGGAGGAGAATCTCTGAAAAATCACAGGATCATGGAATCATTGAAAAAGACTTTTAAGATCATCAAGTCCAACCATTAACCTAACACTACCAAGTCTACCACTAGACCATGTCCCTAAAATGGGTAGGAAAAAATCTCTATGCCCTTCTGCAATAAAGATGTCACCTATTCTTTGCTTTCTGGAGTGGTTTGGGTCATCTTACTCCAGTGTCTTGACAAAGCAGGTTGTAGAATAAGGAAACAGCTTGATGGGAAAGTGATGCAAGTAAAATGTCCTCTGTTCCCAATCACTGGTCACAACTAGTGCAATTATTGCTGTCTTTTCCTTTATCGTGGGCAAATGTACAGTTTCAGTCGTTTCACAGGAGTGGGTCCCTGCTGAAAAGGCAGACCATCTCCTATTCTCCTGTGTACCCTTGGCTGCTTGTTTCTCCTTCAGTTTTGTCCTCAGGAGAGGAAGAAAGCCACCTCCAGTCTCTGTGGTGCCAGTATGTAATTGAGCAAGCTCTGCATATGTCTCCTTGTGGCAGGACAAGCCGCTCCAAGGGAGAAAGTTGAAGGTGATGCTATTTGTGACTAGCAGCACCCATAGATGAATCCAGCCTGTTCCCTGGGGCCATAGAGCAAAGAGGAGAAGGAAAAAGACATCATCACTGTGAGGTGTTGCAGTGTGGTATGTGTCATGACCATGAGGGAGGTGCAGATGTTCAGCACCAATAAGAAGTTGCAAGGATGCCTTGGACAGGTAAATACAGACTTTTGTATGAGCTTGTGTAAGCTCTTGCTATGCCTGGATGGACCCACAGGTGTTAACAGCAGAAGTGTCTGGGAGTGGATATCTGACAATTGAACTACCCCCATGCATGCTTTTCCTCAGTAGTACGTGTCCCTAAACTCCCCCTTTAAACACAAGATTGTGTTTGACTCTGACCTTTCCTGGCAAAAATCCCTCCAGATTTTCCTGTTCCAGCCACACCATGGGGGCACCATACTGGAGAGGTGGTTCCTTACAGCTGATGTCATGCTGGACACCAGTACACTGCCACTCCAGTGTTGTGCATCATGCTGGTTAATGGCTCTTACTGCATTCCCATGTGTCTTTACACAGTAGGATTTAATTTTTATTTAACTTGGCCATGCACTTTCATGACTGTTGCTCTCAAGTGAGACTATGCATTAAGGACACTAAAGAGAACCTCCTGACAGTTTTGGTTGTGTACCATCCAACCTCCTAACTCATGAAAAAACTGCCTTGGTTTTCACTTGGATTTGACCTTGCTTTGACCTCTAGATTCTCTGCTCTTGTAAGTATTGAATTCAGCCTCAAATCCTGAGTGACTCTCTCACTTTATAGGAAGATCATTGAAGTTATTAAATAAAAAATAAATTTACACCAACCTCTGGATGTCTATATATTTGCTTTGTCTTGTCTGTTGTGGATGTATGTAAAATAATTGTTAATTTACAGACAAAAAAAATTACTCATGTACTAATATTTTAAAAAAAACATATGAGGAAAAAAGTTTAACTGCTAATAAAGAATGGAAGCCAATCTATATATGAGTTTTGTATGAATACTTTAATTCAGAGAAATAAATACTAGTAAATCGCAAAGTTTCTGAAGAACTTAAGCTCCACATTGCGTGTGCTTTATTGACAAACTTTCAGCCTATCTGATCAGAGAATGACAGAGACTTGGGGGGTGCAGGTGTAATTGCATTAAAAAAGCCTTACAATCTCATAGGATTTTATCTACTAACTGGTCTTAGATAAAGCTATTGTTTGAGTCAAGGAAAGAGTTGAAAGAAATTATTAGCAAATGTTTGTTTTCTGCAAATGAGAGGGAAAATGACATTGATTTGCATGCATGCGTGGACATGGACACCAGGTCCCCAGATTGTCATCTTGAAAATCTGGTATGGCTTACATTTGTGATTTAACAGGGGAGGACACTAGTTAAGGCCTTTAAAGCATGTATGTGCACAGAAGTGTAATTGTTTTAGCTGCACTGTTGTTCTATGGCTCTAGTGAAAGTAATTTAACTTCTTTGTATGCTCAACTTCAAATTTCATAGCCCCTAACTGCACTTAAAAATTCATTTTTTGAAAATCTAACCCAGACATTTGTAAAGAAGACCCTCTCCATAGTCATCTTCAGCGACCTAAGGGATTCAGATGATCTCAGTAGCAGAATCTAGATTGTACTTTGCCTCATTAACCACATTTTGAAAATCACCAGCCTGCTTTGCCAGGAATTAAGTTACATGATTTAAAATTAACATAAGAGTTTAGCATAATTGAAGTGGGACTGTGATATCTGACTTATGGGATTATAAGAGATAAAGGCATAATTTGCAGCATAAAAGATAACCTCTATTTTTAAAAGTAAATTTTGAAAGGTTAGAGTGTGAGGTTGGGTTGTAACTTTTTTTATATTTTGTAAGAATGCTAAGCAAAACCAGAAACTGAAGGTCATCTGCTATAACAAGTATAAAATCCCATCTCCACAGCTCTGCACAGATGTTTGTCTTATTCAGAAAATTATATTGAACGTATGCAGAAGAGGAATTAAAATACACTCCACAACATTCAGTGCAATTACATTTACACTAGAGATCAGCTGCAGCATGCAGAGCCTCTTTTAAGGGGCTTCATTACAGTAAATGCTTTTTAGTTATGAACATTTCTTCATTTGAAGATCTCTAAGCACTTCTCTAGTGCAGGTCGGTTGTCAGAGCAAGTCAGATGTGCTGTAAAGGCATTACAGTGAGTCTGTGGGAGGACTGGAGTAGGAGGAGAGTGCTCCCTTGGCTCATGTGTCTCTTCCAAACACCAGACAGCTGTGCTTCCCTCCTAAAATTTAAACTTGATTTTTGGAAGCTAATGTTCCATATCTGCCTTTCTTCTAAAATGAATCAGTATTAAATAAAACTGAATTGTTTTAGTTAATAATAAAGTTTTAAAATAATTAATAAATAAAATAGCAATAAATTAAAAATAAATTAAACTGCATAGGTGTGCATTCTCAAATTCTGATACGCTTGTCAACATAAGGCAGCTTCTTTTTTTCGGGTAGGAAAAAAAAGCTCAGACACAGCCATTATGACCATCTCTTCTAAAACTGCTGGTGAACTGTTGCTTGCTGAAGTCAGAGGTGTGCGGCCACAGTGCAATCAAACACGACACATATTCTTGAAATGTCCTCTGATGGAAATCCCCCAAAAGGCCAAATTTATTGGAGCTGCTCCTGCCTCAGGCTGTTCTGTCTTTGTGATGTGTCCTTGGAGATCACCACTTTAATTTTAGGTGTAGTTTAAATTTAAATGAAAATTGCAATATGACACTTTGCACTTTGAAAGGAAAATATTTTACTAGAGCTTTGTATTGTATATGTAGGTTATGTATAAAAGTCTTTGTTGTATGTGCCTTCAGGCTAACAATACATCAGATAAGTCTTTTTAAGTGTAATGCTAAAACCAGTTTATCAGCTTTATAACCTCCTGTGATGCCTTCAAAACTACTTTGCTCTCAAAACATAAAGTCTGAAATCAGACCATAAATTATTATACTTCATTGAAAATATGGATGCACCTGTTCTGTATCAACCAGCTCGTGTACAGTTCAGAGGGCAGAGCAGGTACATAAAGTACTGGGAGGTGGAACTGTCTGACTTAGCAAAGGACATCTGTTCATATCCCCAGATGCCTGGGATTGCTTTGCCTTCCAAAATGTGTCCAAGTGGGTGGATGCAGGAAACAGTCATATTATTTAGTTTAATGAGAATATCTTAGATCATTTGGTATGAATGAAAATATCTGTTTTGTGGGAGAACAGTTGAGCTCTGAACAGTTGAGCTCTGAACTGTAGCTAACTGCAGTGAGTCCCACATGTTTCTTCTATTTCAGATGTAGCTCTGCTTGTGGCTGGAGTGACAGACTTGGACTTCAGAGACCTGGATCTTCCTCCAAGTTCTGTAACTTCATAGACTTGTTGGACAAACATGAAATTCTCTGTGCCTCGGTGTCCCCATTGGTAAAGTGGTCCTGTACATGGAAGGAAATTATACCATGTGCCTTCTCCTAAAATCATTGAACTATGTGGATAAAGAGCTGTGGTTAGAAATTAGGTATTGGTATGGAATTTAACTCATAGGATATTCATGGCCTTTCTTTATGTTTTACTTCCAATGGCTTGGAGGAAGCTGGGGTCTTCCCAGCTTTGCTCCAGCTGAGAAATGCATCATTTCACTCTGTTCTGGGCAATTGGCAGGCTTAAGAATGCAAGCTCTGTTTCAAAACACTGTGCATTTGTCAAGCCTATCCAGGCAATGCCTCAGCATAAAACCAATGCCAGGTTGTCTGACCAGGGGCAAGTGTCCCTCCAGTTCCTCTGGTACAGAGGAGAGCAGACAGAGACAGGGTGAGAATCTTGCTGTCACATTTTACTCTGAGCCCAAATAAAAGAGAAGCTATTTTATTTTGGTGCAGTAGCTGTAAATAAAGTGATGCTTAACTAGAGAGTTCTGCAGAAGCAATGGATCCCAATCAGGTATGCAAATCCCTGTCTTCTCCTAAACATTAGAGTTGTACAATCCAGTACCCAGGGCCTTGTTTCCCCATCCCTTTCTGAGGTCCTGCCACTCCTGTGACAGGCTGCAGTTTACCTGGCTGCTAGAATATTCCAGGATTTATCTCCTATTAATATAGCCACTTTTCCTATGGCTCTATGGAGGCTACTAATAACATGGAGATGACATTGAGACAGACTATGTTGCTTTCTTCTTTTTGTCTTCAGAAAACAATGTGATTAACAACTGTGAGAGAGGGGAAAGAGTCCTTACAAAAGGAAAAAGAAAATCTCAAGGCCATGACTATAACTTTTTTTTTTAGTATATGTAATTGTTGCTTCCTTTCCTCTGTCTCCTCACATACAATTTCCCTCCCTCTTTAAGTATGTCAGCACAAATTGGTGAGACCAATTGCTTGTTTGCTCTCAGCTGTCAAGTTTAAGTCACCTCCAGTCCTGCACATCTATGTTATCATAGCACTGAGGCTGCACTAATAAGCCTGCCTGAGAGTATGGTACTGTCAGCCACCATCTGTGCACACATATTTGTCTTGACCTTGTCATGTAGAAATTCCTTCTATCTCAGGGTTTGGTTTTTTTTCTCCCAAATTCCTTCCAGAAACCAAAGTTTCCACAAAAGCTCACTTCCCATACTGCTCATTTCCCAAGATTTGTAGATTTGAAGTGTCCTGTATAATTTGCATCCAAGAAACAGCATTCTGAGACATAAGGTATAGGAGCAGAACAGATTTATCTGGGCATTTCAGGACCCACATATTGAATTATCTCATTCTTGATAAAAGCAGACACACACACAGATTTTGAAGTTTTAGGAATGATAATGAGTTACAGTTCATCTGAGAAACAATGAGTGTTCAGAAAGCTGAGTTCAACAACATAGCAGTTTCCTCCCTACGAACTTGCACAAATGCAATGTAAATGCATGCACATTTTATAAATGCACATGCACACACACAATATACATATATGAGTCTTATAATGCCCAGACAAAGGTTTTGTAACAATGGTAGTGGGAGCTACTTAGCTTAAGTCCTGCATTTGACTTTAAAGTTCTTAAATGTTTATTAAGATGTGGACATGCAAACATTCTATTAGCATGTTGCAAAACCATGACATTATTCCAAATTAATCTAAACTACTTGCAGCAGCTGCAAGTTTTCCTCTGACACAGGTTTTCTTTTTGCTTCTTTAGATTGCCTGGGACAGGATGCTGCCAGGTCTGTGGATCTGCACTTTGTCCACCTGTGCCTGCTTCTGGTCATGGATGCAGCTACAGGTTTTGGGAGGAGGTTTCCTGGTGGGGCACTTTGTAGAGGAGGAAGTAGACAAGGGCTTGCAGTATCTGTCTACCTTCAAGGAAGTTATTATGTTACCACCTATAGTGCACTTCAAGCCACAGACACAAGCTGTCACCTTTGCTATGACTTCTGCTATTCTCTTAAAAAAAAAAAAAAAAAAAATAACCACCAAAACAGAAAAGGGACAGAGAGAAAACCTCTAATGAGAAGGGGAAATGTTAATTGTGGCTGGAGGTGACAATGCACAATAATAAATTGCTGCTTTGCTATTGTATCTCTCATCAAAGTACCCGAAGACTGCAGCAGAGCAAAAGCTCAGCTCCAAGGGAGGATGATGTTTCTCAAAATCCTCATGATCCCTGCAGGTCTCGTTGAATGGCAGAGAAAAGACAAACACAGAACCAAAGTTAAAATTTTTCTGTGTCTCAGACTTGCTGCCAATAAGGCTCCTGTTTCTCCCTGCATCTTTTTGGCTGTGTCCACCCTAATGGCTGCAGTGGGTCAAGAGAAATGCACTGCCTCTGTGTGCAAAAACTACCCTAATGGAAGCACTCTTAACAAGCAGAATATGGCTCACAATTTATTTTCTGCCTTGCTTTATTTGAAAGTGATGCTAAGACTGAAATTTCCAGCTTAAGGTGATGTGTTTTAGGCTACTCAATCTGCAAGTTAGCAGCTGGAGAAAGCAGGCAAAACTTTTTAGGTGGACTGGGCCATTGCTGCTGCCAGGCACATCTCTAGGAGCTGCAAAGGCCACGTCTGAGAAGCAGGATGGCCTTAAGGGATACTCCTAAGTGTTGATGAAGAACCCAGTTCTTACGAAACCATGCCTAATGGTTTTTTAGTATAAAAGATATCCCTGAACTGGAAGCAGCAAGGACTACTTTGCCAAACCCATGCCCTTCTGAACAAGACATGGAGAAGGAGAGGAAATATTTTGGGACATTTGAGAGATTCTTTCTAGCATTTTCAGTTCTGTTTTCTGTGCCTCCTGACCCCCAGGCACCAGGCACTTCATTAATTTACTGCAATTTACCAAAGGAAAACAAGGTCTACCCACTTGCACCTTTATAGCTAAAATCTGCTCTCTGTGCTGTCTTGGTTACAAAAACAGGCACAGGCTGAATGAGAGAAGCTGGGAACTTGTTATGTAAAATCTACTGCAAGTGAGCTTTTCTAGTGCCTTTTCTATTATGCCTTGACCCCTTATTTTGGCACAGTAACAAAACCACTGAGACTGGGCAGTTATAGGGTTTCACAGGCTTTTTTTTTTTTTTCTTCCTTTTTGGCCTCATCACAAAACCCAAGTGAATCAATGGTGTGCCCAAACTTCTGAAATAGTCTAAGACTTCCAGTATCTTCTACACACAAAAACACAGTGGGGGAAGATTTGTATTCCGTTTATTCTTTATTGAATCAGGACAGACTCCTGCCTAAAAATACCTTGTTTAAGATCACAATAGAAAGCTCCCACACATTTTTCCAGTTGCTTGATATTTGACTACATTATGATCCCTGTTGTTTTGCCTTCACTTTGTTTTCTGTACGTGCCTTAAAGTCTCCATTTTTCCCAAAAATTACACTTGCCTGTAACTCAGGTGATTATTTTCCCCTCCAAGACTTGACCTTTGTTCCACTTCAGCATCATCACTTGAGTAAAAAAATAACAGTAAAAAATAAATATACTAATAAATAAATGAAACTAGAACTGGGGGAAGGTTTGGGAAGGCTTGGGAAAGGAAGGGAAGGCTTGGGAAGG